TTTTTGCTTGTTGGTTGTATTACGTTCCTGATTCCCGTGCATTTTGTTGACTGGTTGTTAATTCTTCGGAGTAGATCGAGTGGTTGATTCATTAGCTGATTTTATTAAAAGACCTGGACTGTCCAGCGTTTTCGACAATAATGTCTGACTCATTTTGAGCGTGTTGACGGGAATCTAGTCGTCTACAGTGGAAGTTTTGGGTACTCGGGAGCTAAACTGGTGTACACAGATTTGCTAAGAGAGTCTGATCCTATTCACTACTTCAATACTTGTCTTTGTTTGCTTATCCGTTTCTGGAATACTTTTTCCAGGGTTCCTGACAATTTAATCCACAGACTTGTCGGGGAAATTTTGATGCTACACAGTAAATCCCCAGTGTTCGTGTCGAATATGCCCACTTGCGATTTGATTCACCAAGTCTGCTGTAACCGGTTACTTTAAAATCTGTACACGCCACTTGAAGCCAGCCCTTACATTTGTCACACTGCATACCACAAATGACAACAACACGACATATAAATCGATTACATGTGTTTTTCATTATCATGGTAGAATATAATTTGTTAAATAAATCTTAGAAAAAGTTTATGATCGTGAAAACGATGGTTGACCTTTTGTTAATTAGGCTACGATCTTGGATAAGTGTATAATATTCCTAGGGACGGTAACGAATAATTCCTGTATGTGATGAACTAAAACATCAGTTAATAGTGGCAGAAGTAACACAATGTCTCTCCCAGTAGTTAGCGAAATAAAAGAAACGTCATGCCTTTGCTACCATTTATGTTGAGAGTTTAAAACCATTAAGAGAACTCAGTACGGTTCATGTTTTGGCTGGACACTATACTTCTTTTTGAACCTGTTCAGAGTGAATGATATCGCACTTAAGTTTATCGACATATGCATATTTTAATGTAATATCTTGACCAAGTGCCGAAAATCAGTTTGGGTAGTTAGTAGTGAAATGCTCTCGAGATAATTCCTATGCTTCATGCATCACTAATAGTGGTAACCGTTATTGGACAACTCTTAACGGTATATCAATCCACAGTAGGCTATACAGAGCGATGACCAGTTTATTATTGGATAGTACAGATCAAAGGGCCACAACTACACAGAATATGAACGAAATGAGAATGAATGGGATTTAAGAAGCTTATATATATATATATATATATATATATATATATATATATATAGAGAGAGAGAGAGAGAGAGAGAGAGTCACTGAGCAATTTAAGGCAGTTTGAAGAAAATAGAGTTAGCTGCAACATGTGATCAAGCATACATGATCATAGAAGCATGGAGACAATGGCTCAAAGATATGAGCAAACTGTTACCGACATAAATAGCACTGTCTGCTATGTGAGCCATTTGCAGTGCTTAGGACATTTTAGCGTGTAGAGACTCAAGCATAGATGGGTATGCTATAAGTTTGGAGACCACGTTAGCTCAAGTTATGGAAGGAAATCACAGAACGGTATGGTTTGTTGTTTTCAACGTGTCACTGTTGGTTAACTTTCAGAATATTACATAGGCTGACCTATAGGTGTCTTGTAAGTGTGGAAAATATCATACTTTATTCGTCCACAACATGAAAAGTGGTTTTCCATTATTATCGTTCAGGATTTACTGATGTCAGGATTGTGGTCACTTATGATAGCCCTGTTGTTTCATCCGTTCTACTTATATTGAGCGTCAATGTATTTAAGGGGTTTTGAATTTCCTCCTAAATTTCAAGATCATCTCATAGTTGTATAGAGTGTCTTCAAACGAGCACTATTTCTAGGTCTTCGAAAGTGATGTTAACATAATTAATTTTACTGAACACAATTACAGCTGAAGATACTCGGTCAAACATCCCTGATAGATCACGTTTGGGCACGTCAATTATCTTGTTTCACATGTCGACCCATCAGCTTGAATTCCATGCACTCCGATCGACCAATCTACATCCAAACAGATCTTCACAAACAGTCATCCTTCAATTCTGATTTTCTTGACTTTTAGATCATTATGTAAAAGAAATCCCGGATAGTTGTGTTAATAAACAATGAGTATTATTGAAATCTTTAATTTTGAATCTCAAGGTGATCTGGTACGCTAAACAACACACTGAATGTCTGTTCCTTGTCAGGTTTTGTGATATATATATTTCTGCAAGGGCAGGTACACGCCATTTTACAGGCATGATCTACACATTGCAACATTTATTGGTTCATGGTATGCATCCCAAGCAGGGTTGTTAGATAAATATAATCCATAAAAGTGAATATCGGTTCATTCGTTCAGATATACTCAGTAGTCTTCAAAACATTTTCCAAAGTGGCATCGGGTTCACTTTACACACCAGATCCAATCTTGGCATAATTGTGTTAGGATTTTGGCGGTGCTAAGTATTTATGCAGTGCAACTTTTCAAGTTTAAAGTTGTTATTAAGTAGGATTGTAGAGCGCTTGGTGTGAATGATTACCTTAGACGCATACGCAGAGTTTGTTCCAGATGTCAAAAGTTCCATATTTCCGTGTTCTTGTGTTTTTCGGCAAATTTGCACGTTTTGTCTTTGACACACTCAAATTTTAAGGATTATGATTCCCTCGTCCACCAACACTACAATTTAGACCATTCTGGGTGGATGACGTGAAAACTAGGTTCTTCCATTCAGGTGCTAAGTTTCACGATCGTAGCGTGATTGATTCATGTGACCAGCCCCTAGGAGTAGTGGCGGAACTATCCTGAGAGTTCCATGTGTTTTACACCTAGTATGTTTGCGAATGATGTTTCGAAACCTCACAAAACCTTGGAGAAGAATATCTTGAAAAGTGGGGATTCAACTGGTAGAAAAGTGTTCGATGAACTCTTTGAAAATGTTGGACTAGGATATTGCTCAGCAGCAGAAAAGGCTTAACGAATGCGACAGGTCATTAGCCATTAAACTTTAAACGAAAGTCTTTTGCACATATCCCTTTTCACCTAAGTTTTGGTTTCGTTCCATAATTGCTTCTCTTGAACTGGTTTCATCTTTTCCCCGGATTCTAGAAATCACCAGAACCTCTAGAATCGACCAGGAGAGAAATCACAAATGTATTTAATGCTCTCACTGTCCCGCGAGTCTTTGAGGCAGTCGCAGATGAACTAGGGCACCCAAAAGGTGCTCATCACGCAAAAGAGTCTTTCAGGTCGCGTGAGGAAGTATTTTTTACTTAAGTTGGTACCACAACACTGCGAGTGTACTAGAAATCACTGCGTCGTAACAATTACCAATACATGATATAGAACAATATTAGGCTAGTGATGGAACAATATATTTAATATGAATAAAAGATATAACGTAACATTTAGAAGGGACCACGCCTGCATGGCCGAGCCATGCCATACGATCAACTCCAACTTATTCAAATCATTGTTCCCGCCTTCTCCATTGTTAGGTATTTCCAAGCGTTAAAATGTTGAATGTTTATTTTTCTTATTGTCTCGTGTTAGGGCCCAATGCCAGTACAGACGTTTCTTATTAGCAACTATCAATCGCTCATCTTTGGGACAAACTGTACTATTTTACGTTTATCTTTATGTACGATATTATTACTTGACTGATAGCGATATTTTCCCATTTTGATAGTGGAGTTATATTAGGTTTCTGTACCATTTGGGAAAATCACCCTTTACTATCTATAATATGCTTCTTTTATACTGTTTTGAACGCTTGTTATGCTATTATAAGGAAGTCACTGGCTATCATCGTCTTTTGAATTATTGAACTTGAGAGAACGTAACTTTCGTACAAATACTCTAAAGCAATCCAGAATTTGGATCCCAAAACGTGGCTGATCGATCAAGTCTCCTTAATCAAAACTAGCCTTTCTAAGTGACCTGCGGGAAGAAGGATTAAACCATGTTGGCGTAATTTGTGATTTTACCCACAAGTATGGGGTTTTCGAGCTTCAAGCAATCAAGTCAAGCTCAAAGAAATTCTGGAAGCCCTACTAGTACATCTGATGCATACTCGTTACATCGCCTACAGACAACCCTAAAAATATACGTCTTTGGAGAATGGGCACTTGCATTAAAGTCAATGATAATATTAGAGGTTATTACAAGTTTTTTTCCTCCGTCATTTCAATCTGCCAGTGTTTTTGATTCAGGCTTTGAAGCATTAATACAATGATCATACTTCTTTGGCACTAACTTCAGTGCAAATTGTAAGGAACGGTCAGTTCATTACATTTCTATGACAAGTTCAGTGTTTGAGTCGGATCAAGCTTCCAGTCGTACCCAGGAGAGCTAATTTTTAGACCTTAAAAATGCTACAATAATGACGAACTAAAACATCAGACCTAATGTGTGGAAAGCATATATTTAAACAGTAATACAGGCAAATAATTCAGTAAATTTATTTGTGGAATAAAAAGTCCCGAGGTTTCGTAGAGTTTGAAATATTATCTGACCAGTTGTCACGCGAAATAAGCTGGGCGAGGTACCCAAATTTTGTCTCGTGGGGAAGCAACACCAAACCCCTTCGGCTAAAGAGGGAATCCAGCAACACTAATAAGGTTATCATCTGTGTCAAAGACAGAGAGCCACTAAATTTTTTAGGACTCACACACCACTAAAGCTCGCTCCGCTTCAGTGAGGTTGTGAGGAATCTAAGAATTCTAAACTTAACAGGTTATCTGTCTGTAAGTACTTGCATTTATAAAAACCTCACAGGCATGGAACAAAATACAGGTTTTCCGCGTTAAGCATCAGCGGTTTAAACTGTTGATTTTGTCAGGTTGTTACAGAATCTTCATTAGATGCATTAAAGAGAGAGGTGTGTCAAATGAGGACTAACACAATCCTTTTAGTCTTCTGTCCTTCCAAAACTGCGATTAAACACCATATGCTTTCAGGAAATAATTATAGAACATAAAAACAAGAATGCAAATCACACATAAAAAGATATCCTGAATAAAATGCATTTTCGATGTCATCCTTCGGAAATTTCTTTTCAATGATCATTTGGTGATTTAAAAGAGCCTGGCGGTACCGTCAACATAGTTTCGATTTTCCCGTGAGACAATGGCAGGGGATGATAAGGTGAACATTGATAGTGTCATTGGTAGATTACTAGAGGGTAAGTGCTTGCATTACGAATGTTCTGTTTACACAATCTTAACCTCGCCTAATTCTTTATGTCTAATGAGACGTAGGATATGACTATATATAACACTTCATTGTCCTCACCTGTCATTTTCCTACCTTCTTAGACGTATAGTTCAGTAGATCCTTTTAGTGTCCAATACAGGAGATGAGTTAAGTTTTGCACAACGAATTATCATTCCGTTCACCTGGATTTTTTATGTGATATTCACGTTCGCGACACTTTTGTTGGGAAAAGTATTTCGATTTGACATCTAATGACCGATTTATCTGTCACGCAGCATTTCTTTATTTACACTATTTGCTGGTGTCTGTGGTGATGAAGTAATCATGTCTCTACTCTCTCTGGGATCGCAACATGACAGTCCTATAGATATATTGTCTCCAAATGATACCATCTTTACCAGTTAATACATTTATCCCCTAAGCTTTACTTTGTGCATCATAGATTTTATATTTGCTGAATCGCTCGAGTTTCTTCGCTTTACCTTGTCTACTCTCAATTCAATCAGTCTTTCAAGAAGTTATCAAATGAGACTGAAACGCACACGTGGGCACACTATTAAGCATTAATGCTTCCTAAGCGTCTCATCCCAGATAAATAGAATAAAATTCACTTCAGCAACCCATCATTTTCAATTTAACTACATACACTACCTAGTCAGCCCCGTTGCAACTGCGCAAATTATATTACTTGGTTTTTAATTAACAGATCACATACTGTACAATAAAATAAAAGACAAACCTGGCACAGACTTATTTATTTATTTAAGCATAAACAGTAGTACAATGTAGATTTGCGCCACGTAAACCGTTTGATTTGTGTGAGGGCTGAGATGCTTCTCGGGTGCCCAGACCGCAGCAGGTGGTTTTCTTAGGGGGCCACACTCAGAGTCTTCGACCTAAAGGTCTAACCCACAAGGCAGTGGAGCAGACCCATGGTAGCCGGTGACCAACAATTGGTTCATACGCCATTTGTCCCCTCAGGATCCTGTAGCCCATGTGCACCATTGGTTTGGGATCCGGCTAAAGCACCGGACATTCGCTTTTCGTCCTTTCATTTTCGTAAAAAAACACCCGCCACGAGAAGGCAGTGAGTAGTGGCTTCTGTTGGTCCTTCATGACTCCCTGGCTGGGGTCCAAGAGATGGTGCAACACAGTGGCTAGAGACGTTATCAGATATGGCTCAGAATAGAAGCCAGTGGCGATCCTGATGTATCCTTCTTTTACTTCCTTCATAAGAAGTGGTTGTCACTTTCTTAACTGCAAGAATTCTGATTGTACCTTTCCGTTTCCCCCATTATTATCATTATGATTATTATTACACTATCTTACACTAATCTGTCAGTTATTGTTATTTTTTTAAGCTCCTTACCTTTTTCTCTTTTCAAATTCTCATTGTTTTGTGTGGCGTATATATATTTGGTTCCTCCTTGTACCAATATTTATGTTCAAATAAATAAATAATCAAATAAGTATGGCGTTTCCTTCGGACAACCAGCATCTGCAGCGTTACTGCTTTCTCATAAGGTAGGAAAGGGGTTAGAAAAGGTTGACCCTAAAAATGTCACACCTCACGGATTTCCGTCTCCGGCGGTAAGGCCCATTGAAGAACGGAGCTAACAATAAAAACCTCCCACAAAAAGGCCGTGCGCGACCGACCCCAAGCAGTTGTCCCTTGGGCTCTGCGGTCACGCTCCCAGGTCGTTAAGACCAACACTGATCCGATTTCCTTTTCAGGTTCCTCAAGAAATACCCTTCCACGGTGTGGGCAGCCGGGAAGTGACATCAGCCCTCATACCCGTAACAGCACACGTGACCAAGTTGGTCACATTCAAATCCTTCCTACACCTAATACCTCTCTTATCTCCACGACGTCCCTTTATCACCTCGCACCACTAGAGCAAACGATTCGAGTACGCGGAATGTTACTCCTGGTCTCCTGAAACCACGCTCTAAACTACATGTAGGAGCTTTTAATGTCCAAACACTATACCAAATAGGACAACAGGCTTCCTTAGCTAAGACTTTAGAATCTCTCTCCATCGATGTGTGCTGCGTCTCCGAAACGCGCACACAGGATCCTAGTAGTGTCATTCATTTGACCTCAGCATATCAAAATAAAGAACCAACTCGATTCACGCTTCGTGTATCTGGAAGCCCTGATGCTGCTTCCCGTGGCCTCGCTGGCGTAGGTATAGCATTGAGTCATAGGGCAGAACTAGCTCTTTTAGACTGGATCCCAGTAGACAGTCGTTTGTGCGCTGTCTGACTAAACGGAACAGTAAGGACTCGGAAAGATAGGGACACTCGTCATTGCCTTTTCGTCGTCTCTGCGTACGCTCCCACTAACTGCGGCTCAGATGATGTAAAAGATGAGTTTTACAGAAAGCTTTCCAACCTCCGGAAAGCTAGGCGTTCTGATATAGTAATAGTGGCTGGTGCTCAAGTAGGTAAACTAAGCGAAAAGGAAAGATACTTGGGTGGATCTTATGGTGTCGCGGCTCAAAGAACAGATAACGGCGACCGTCTGTTGCAGCTATGCTCAGATAACCGCCTGTTTCTTGCAAATACTAACTTTAAGCATAAGGAAAAACATCTTTTGACATGACGACCCCCTAATTCGTCCCAACGCTGGACCCAAATAGATCACATCGCTATCAACCGCCGATGCAGGGGCTCGATAGGAGACTGTCGCTCATTCTGGAGCACATGTTTAGATCCAGATCATGCTCTAGTGCGAGCGCGTATTTGTCTACGTCTTACTGGACGTAGGAAAGATGGTACAAGGAAGTGTGGCGCATATATATTTGGTGCCCCCCTGTACCAATATTTATGTGTTCAAATAAATAAATAAATAAATGGTACAAGGAAACCCCTTAGGGTCTTGCTTAGTGATAGTGAAGCTAAGAGTATATTTCAGGAACAACTAGAAAAACAGTTAGGCAGCCATGTAAGTGATGCCCACTCCGAGGCAGCGTGGAATGACATCCGAAAAGCTGTAGAAACAGCAGTGATGTCTGCAAGTACGGTAAACCATAAGGTTAGGGAGAAACACTGGATCTCAGCAGTGTCTACCGCACTGATAGATGCTCGAAAACTCATTCCACCAGGCTATGAACATAACGAAGAGCGGAGTCAGCTTAAGCGTAAGATGACCAGGAGCCTACGCATTGATCGTGAACAGTGGTGGGCAGCGAAAGAAAGAGACTGGAAAAGGTAGCGGCATTAGGTAACAACAGGCAACTGTTCAGACTTGTTAAGGAAACCGGTATTAGGAACCCAACTGTTAGCGCAACAATCTCAGAGAAAGATGGACATATTATTCATTCTCAATCCAGGAGATTGTATCGATGGGCAGAACACTTTAGGGAACAGTTCAACTGGCCTTCAACCACACTTCGGTTTCCCGCGATCTCCAGTCGACCTGAATGGCAAGTTAATGTAAGTCCTCCGACTCTTTACGAAGTTGAAAAAGCTATAGGAAATCTGAAGCGAGGGAGAGCAGCAGGTGCTGACAGGTTTACTCCTGAGATTTTTAAGGATGGCGGTCCAGTATTAGCAGTGAGATTGACTGAGGTCTTAGGTGGAATATGGGAACTGGACGTAATCCCATCTGACTGGTCTCAATCACTGATTGTGTCAATCTATAAGAAAGGACAAAAGTCTTGTTACAATCACAGAGGAATCAGTTTGATTAACATAGTGTCTAAAATATTAGCTTCAATATTATTTCGACGCCTAACCAAAGCTCGTGAAGAGCAGACTAGAGAAAACCAGGCTGGCTTTCGACCTGGACGTGGTTGTACAAACCAGATATTCACACTACGTTAGGTCCTAGAACATAGACACACATTCAGACGCCCCACAATGGTAGTATTTCTCGACCTTAAGGTGGTATTCGACTCGGTTGATCGTAATGTTTTATGGCAGTTTGTCACTGAAAGGAGTACCAAAGAAGAACATTAACCTTGTAAAGGCCCTCTAATCGAACACATCTGGTAGAGTGAGAGCTTATGGTGAACTATCATCAGAATTGATTACCTCTAGCGGTGTTCGTCAGGGCTGTCCACTCTCCATTTTTGCTTAACTTTGTCGTTAACGTGCTTTTAGAGATGATATTTTCCTCATCTAAATTTCCAGGGGTTGAACTTCTACCGGGAGATTCACTTTTTGACTTAGAATATGCCGATGACAGTTCTGTTTGGTGACAAACGCTGACAAAATGCAGTCTTTTGACCGCTCTAAGCAACAATGCAAGCATGTTTGGCATGCGATTCTCTCCCTCGAAATGCAAAATGTTGCTTCAGGATTGGGTTGCATCGACACCCGAACTAGTGGTAGGGAGTGAAGTAATTGAGCATGTCGACCGCTTCACTTATCTTGGAAGTCTCATCAGCCCTTGTGGTCTGGTGTGTGACGAAATCTCAGCACGGATACAGAAGGCTCGACTAGCTTTTGCTAACTTGCATCATCTGTGGCGTAGGCAAGATATCCAGGTGTAGACTACCTGGTTAGGATCTGCGAGACAATAGCAACTGATGGTTAGAGACTCTGAATGACATGGCTCAAAATCGTTTGCAATGGCGCAAGTGCATCTACTCTATGTTCCCTTAAATTCTAATCTTCTGAATTCCTCATATTCCTTTCTTTTTTCTCTTGCCAATTTTATTTCACTGTATTATACTCCTTAAACAACATTTTCAAACCCTAATGTTTTCGATTACTGCTTATACTCTTACTACCTCTACCACTAAGGGATTTGAATGGACAATCGTATTTCTGTGCTAATGTGGTACAGCAACCTAAATTGGTGTACGTAGGTACGAAGTTCTACGTTGTTACTGACTGACTGATCCACCGTCGACCGTACCAGGGCATCTGGGAGTATTAGCCTAGTTTTTTCACCTGAATCAGTTGTTCAAAATACGTCTGACTTCGTTTCGAGATTTGGAGAATGAGGACAAGTTCACATTTAACTTTAAAGCGTCCAAAATATCCCCGTGAATGTACTATGCATACCTAAAGTAAATTTCGAAAATAGCTTCATACTACGTTAACAGAAGTCTGAAGTCAGTTAGTCAGATACAACGTAAGACTAGACACATATATCTCGATGTGGTGGTCGTGCTTGCCTGTCGTGGTGAACCAATCAAGCTATAACTGGCTGGAACAATCGTACCTCTAGGTCCTACCATGCCGGATTTATTTACTTATTTATTTATTGGAACACATAAATACTGGTACAAGAAGGCACCAAATACATATGCGCCACACAAATTTCATTTGATTTGTGTGAGGGCTGTGATACTGCCCGGGTGTCCAAACCGAAGCAGGCTACCATGCCAGACAGGTCGGTTTAAGAACGGTTAAATTGAGAGCAGCGAACCCAAGGTCCGAAGTCGTACTGCTGATTGTACGCAGGTGCGATGGCAGCAAGGTGTTTTCTTCAGACAACCAGCACAACGGCGATGCTGTCTCTTCACAAGGAGGGGTGGGGTGAGAGAAGGTCGAGCCTAAAAATGCACACCATGCCACGGATATCCGTCTTCGGCGGTAAGATCTCAACAAGTACGGAGCTAACAAGCAAATTACTCACAAAATGGTCGTGTGTGACCGACCTCAAGCATCTGTCCCTTAGGCACTGGTCACGCTCTCAGGTCACAAAGACCACCTTTAATCCAATCTCCTTTTCAGGTACCTCCAGAAGAATAGAAGTCTAAAGCTTCAAGTGGAATGCAAGCGTGCGATACAAGCACGTTTTAAGTCGCTCTGCTGCTACTAGATATGCTCGCCAAGCATAAAAGTCGACTTCAGATATCTATTTATTTGCTATTTCACCCGTAAAAATAGTTTCTCCACTAATAATCATTTGATTTGCATGAGGGCTGGGATACTACTTGGGTGCCCAAAGTGAAGCAGGTGGTTTTCTAAGGGGGTCACACTCAGTCTTCGACCTAAAAGTCTAGTCCACAAGGCAGTGGGGCAGTGTCAGGAGATGCAGTCCTATAGTAACCGGTGGCCAACAATTGGTTCATACGCCATTTGTCCCCTCAGGATCCTGTAGCCCATGTGCACCATTGGTTTGGAATCAAGGTTTCCCAACCCACCTAGGCGGATTCTCTATGTTCACCAACCCGGTTACAGCACCGGACATTCGCTTTTCGTCCTCTCAATTTTGTAAGCAACACTCCTGCTGTGAGAAGGCATTGAGTAGGACTTCTGTGACAGTGGTTGTATGCACGTGGCCATATGAGAGCATTTGGAGAGGGAGAGTGAACCCTCCCCACCCTTGACCATACCCGGACATAGGACGACGTTCTGGAAACAGTTCTGTTGGATGTAGGGGACGGTGGTATGGATCTGATACCTGGCGAAAGTCTTTTCGACCTTAAGTATGTGGATGATATTGTGCAATGATACCCAATCCATGCAATCCACACTTAGTGAGTTGGCAGTTTGTGTCTGGAGGCATGGCACGTGCTTTGCACCTTCCAAGTGTAAGGTACTTCTGCAAGACTTATAGGATCCTGACCCTGCACTCATCCTGGGTAATGAATGGATAGTAGTCGTGTAGTTCGCGTATCTGGATAGCTGGTGGTGTTTTGAAAGATGTGATTGATTCACGTATAGTAAAAGCCAGGGCGGCGGGTCATCTTTGTCACCGTGATTTTAGTCTGGTTGTAAAAGGTCTAATCTATAACGGGTCGGTAAGAGTAGTTTTGCTCCATACTTGTGAGACTCGACCTCCGAGTTGAGGATATTAGACGACCCTGTGTTAGATCATCGTTTTCTCCGAAGGATTACTGATATTCAGCGGCAACATTTAGTAATGCAGAGGTTCGGCATCGTGTGTCACCATCTTGAAACATCGAATTCGGTGTGTTGAACATGTTCTACAGTCAGTCAGCTACAGCGTAGGACCAGGCACATATGTGCATCGGTCCAAGTTGCCATACCTCATTAACGCAATAAGATGAACACCGGATTCATAGAAGTGGTTAATTCAGTGGTGGTAATTTATAAAAGATTGCACATAAGGAAATAGTACAGGAAGAAAGAATTAGTTCATAGAAAGAATGATATGAAGCGACATGTTCTACGAATATCGTCCCAGCGAATTCCACATCGTGCATTATTTGCCGACGCTAGGATCGGTTGGAAAAGGTGGTCAGTGTATAACATGATGTTGCGGTATGGAAGAAAGCTATACAGAACTGGCTTCTGTTAGACCTTCATGACTTCTTGTTCCGGGACCTTAGAGATGGTACAGAATAGAAGCCAGTGGCGGTATTGTTGTAACTTTCTTTTACTTTCTCCATAAAAGTAAACGTAACTTCTTTAGCTGAAAGAGTTCTTTCTGATTGTATTTTTTCTAACTAAACTGTTTCCCATTATTATTATTATTATTATTATTATTATTATTATTATTATTATTATTATTATTTCACTCTCACAGTAATTTTTGTTCATTGTTGCTTTTCTTTTATTATACTCACCCCCATTCTCTCTCTTCACAATCTCATTGTTATTGTATGGCTTATATGTATCTGGTGAGAGAAATTAGTCGAACGCGTCGACGACTTCACTTATCTTAGAAGTTTGATCAACCCTAATGGTTTGGTGTCTAACGAAAAAGCTTGTTTGGTTTTAACCAAGCTGCGTCACCTAGGGTGAAGACGGGATATCTGTCTATCCATTAGGGGACGAGTATACTGCGCAACATTTCGTCCTGTTTTACTTTATGGCTGCGAAAGGCGGCCATTAAGAGTAGAGGATACTCTTAAGTTACTAGTATTTAATCACAGATGTCTTAGAAATATTGCTTGCATCTGCTGGGATCATCGGGTTAGTAATAGCGAGTCTAAAAGCAAGGTACTAGAGAATGTTATTAAATCAGTCGAAGTTGTGGATCTTCAACTTAGATGGTTGGGTCACGTATTATTCATGCCCAGCCTATGACTGTCACGGTGCACAATGCTGACTAGTGTTGGAAACAGATGGAAGAAAGTTAGGAGCGGCCAAACCAAAACGTGGCATCAGTGCTTGAAGCCACTAACTTCTGGTCTGAGCCATGTTGGTAGATGTAGACTACTTGGTTGGGGTCCGCGTGACTATCATAACCAATGGTTGGAGACTCTTGGTGACATTCTTTGTCTTCCTTTAAACCATGAGATTAAAATCGCTTCATATCTTTCTTTCTATGAACTAATTCCCTCTTCCTGTACTATGTCCTTATATGCAATCCTTCTTTTATATATTACTACCATTAAAGTAACTATATGAATTTGGTATTCATCATGTTGTGCTAATGAGGTATGACAACTTCGACCGAGCCCAAGCTAGTCATATCAAAATACAGTATCAATGTATGGGGCTGGTGATTTATCATGGATTATGTATTTTATTACGCTCTTGCTATTGTGTCCATAGAAATTTTCGGTCGTCTTCGGCCGGGATTCTAAACCTAGCAGACATGGCTATTAGTCGTTTATTCTTGTAACCAAACGACAGCAGTGTCATAAACACCAAGTAGTCCTGTGGTCTATACTGCCATTGTTGTTTCGAGTAGACTTGCAATTGCACATTTGACTGCATCAATAGAATGTCTATGGAAAGTTGTCATCAACCAAACATTGCTTGTGGTCAGTCTACCTTGTTAATATTTTCCCTGATTTGTTTGCGGAATACAGTTTCGTTTTGAAAACCTTAAGTACCTATTGACTTTGGAAGTCGATAAGACTGACCGAATAATGTCACAACAAGAGGGAAATTTTAGCAGACCTAATAACATGGGGTTGCTCAGCCCGACAATAGTATTGTTACACGGAAGGATGGTTGTAACTACGTATCATTTCTCTCTGGTACTTTATTGGCACAAAACTTTGTCTAGTGGCTGAACTAAACTTAATACATTTGGATTATCTCATTCCAAATCTGGTATAACAAAAACAAGGACTTGAAAACTCTACAACCCAAAGTATTTTCTATGTGGCCTCCATGTTGTTAACTGACCCAAATTCCTAGTGAAAAGCACTTCCAGGAAGTAGCTTTATTTGACAGACCAATCAGTCATAATTTCGACAGCCATAGGGAGATTTAGCTTCTTATAATTCAATTATTCGATTAATTAGAAGAAAACTTCACAGCCTTCGTGCCTGTGTCAGACTAAAAACCATATACTGTTGTAGATTAGAGCTCATAACACGTATGAAAGTAAAATACTTGATGTTATACGCGTTAGTAACCATGTTTTATTCACTGATTAATAAACTTCATTAAATACTTTAAAATAGTCTTGGTCAGTCTGCGCGTAGTGAATTTTCACCTTACATTAGGACATAAATACCGCTACATAGAAGTTACCAAATTAGTCAATACTGAACACCAATCTCTAACGTAATAGGATGTTTCAATAATTGTTCTGTAAGTTCTCACTCTGTTATGATCATCCCATTGTCAATATGACCAACCAATAATTTTACTGAATCTAAGTAATATTTAATTGCTTTTATATTTGAAATATTTCAGGACTGAAGTAACTTAAATTTAAAACTCGTTTTGTGATTTGAATACTGTCATGTTTTTATCTCTATTTCATGTCATTCAGTTCGACGCACTCGTCCTGGCAAAAACGTTCAAATGAGCGAAACAGAAATCCGCGGGCTGTGTCTGAAGTCTCGCGAAATCTTTTTAAGTCAACCTATTTTACTGGAATTGGAGGCTCCCCTCAAAATATGCGGTGATATTCACGGACAATATTATGACTTGCTCCGGCTTTTTGAGTATGGAGCATTTCCTCCCGAAGCAAATTATTTGTTCTTGGGTGACTATGTGGATCGAGGAAAGCAGTCTCTTGAAACAATATGCCTGCTACTAGCCTATAAAATCAAATATCCAGAAAATTTCTTCTTGCTAAGGGGTAATCATGAATGTGCCTCTATTAACCGTATATATGGATTTTATGATGAATGTAAGTGTTTAGTTGGGGTTTATTTGACATATAGGCAAACGTCGATATAATATAAAATTGTGGAAAACCTTCACAGACTGTTTCAATTGTTTGCCGATTGTAGCAATTATAGACGAGAAGATTTTCTGCTGTCATGGCGGTTAGTTTCCTACTTTATGCGATATTCCATCATAGGTCTCTCACCAGATCTTTCAACAATGGAACAGATAAGACGCATCATGCGTCCTACAGATGTTCCTGATCAAGGACTATTATGTGATTTACTTTGGTCAGATCCAGATAAAGATGTAACTGGTTGGGGTGAAAACGATCGCGGTGTTAGTTATACATTCGGTCCAGATATTGTGGCCAGATTTTTACACAAACATGATTTGGATTTAATATGCCGTGCTCACCAGGTAACGTGCAAAAAATTCTCATCCACAACTTCAGGTTGTCGAAGACGGTTATGAATTCTTTGCCAAGCGTCAATTAGTAACTCTTTTTTCCGCCCCGAATTATTGCGGTGAATTTGATAACGCAGGAGCGATGATGTCTGTAGATGATACATTATTGTGCTCATTTCAAGTAAGGTTAAAAATTGTGTTAGTAGTATTCTACTCTTATTTTTGATATGCTTGGATAAGTAGTGAGCAAACACAAATACGACATAGAATTCACCTCGAAAACTAGTTCAGACCCAGATGTAAACTTCTATTATTTACCAAACCTCACATCGTTCCATTTACTAACGCTAAACGAGCGAAGACAACATTATAAGTGATAAAACTAATTTACTTTAAATTTTTACCAGCTTCTTACATCTAAGGGTTTCTTCACAATGATGGAAAAGGACTGACAATTGCTTCTTTTAAACACGGTTGATGGGTGTTTTAAAATTATTCACCTAACTACTTAGTATGAAGATTTAATAACACCTTTTAAAAATAGAATTTTGTCTTCGATAATTAAGGAAGCAGTGGTTTAATGGTTAAGGAACTCGACTTTGGTAGTTAGTCTCAGGTAGCCAACTAACCCCCACGCCAAAGATAACGATGTGACTCAAAACCAAGTACATTGACCCGTTTTTGGTAAATGATTAACAATAATAATTAAGACTACCGTTTATTCGTGTTAATATTTGCTGTAGACTATTGCTATTATTAATTAGCAACAGTTATGTGAGCCTACAATAGTTCAACACAGTATAATTATATTTACAGCTAATTACTATACTTAAATATGACTGAATTGAGCTTGTTATATACGGTTTGCATCTATCCATATATATTACCAAAAAGACAAAAGACATTTCCTCCGAAGGGTATCATGTTTGTTTATTATAATTATTGAGAGGACAATCAGTCATAGTCAACCTATAACTGGCACATATATCTATCGTACCAAGTTGCCGCATAGCGATATAAAATTAAAAAGTTCAATGGTGAAGAAGTTGAATTAATACCAATATCAGTGATAATGAAAAGAACTAAATATAGAAAAAGTTTCGTAAAGATAGTGAGTAACTCATTGAATAAAAAAGTATTAAATAGTAGAAGAATTCTGAATAAAAAATATAATCAATAAATGTATCTGTAACACTGACAGATTTTGAACCACCTTTCCAACTAGTATATTGATAATTATATTTACCACAAAGTGTTGTAATAATTTTTATCAAACGTTAAAATATATTATGTTTCCTTTTTCTGAACATTACTGGGTTCTCAAATTATTTATCATTAACTCCATAAATCGTATATCACAACAAGGATGAATGCAGTCAGACGTACATAGAAGATTGTCTTGAGTAAAAAATGGCATAAAATTATTACAAATAATAAACAATTTCTGTGGACTGCTATTATAGATAATCCGCTTTTTGTTTTATCATTAACTCATCCGGCTTTCGTGCTTGTTTATTTTGTAGATTTTGCGTCCAGCTGAAAAGAAAAAATATTACGTTGGTGTCCCAACTGGCAGCCGACCAATTACTCCACCTCGTGGGGCTAAAGCGAAAGGGAAATTATAAAAATCTTGAAATATTGCATCTCCAATTTCTTTGCTTTTAAGACTATAATTAAAGCGTCAGGTGAATAACTTTATGACTACTGTCCCCTGTTCATTGCTGTCATTTATCAGTTTTTCAAAAAAATCTATTTCTACGTCGAAAAGTTTAGATTTTCCTTATATATGTCTTTGTGGCGAAAAGCAGTCGTATTTTGTCCTATATCATTGAGATTGGATTAATCAGTGTGAATTATCCTCTTTGGAATCTTTTGTTTCTAAGTTATTAAACAGCTTTCATTTACTTTCATACTTACAAGTCTTGTTATTCAAAAGGCTTGTTCTCTTTTTTTGCATGTTGTAGAAGCATACACAAATTAATACATTGGTTATTAATTCTATTCTATTGGGTACCACTTTACTATTGTTATTACTATTATCATAATTGTACATTTCTTTTTCTCCTCCTTACGTTTAATTGTTATTTAGAAAATCAAACTGGAGAAATGAGTAGTTTTCAGTCGTTTTGCTCAATTGCTTCTTCGACTGATCACTAGTGTTGTTAAAAAAATAATTCAACGGTAGAAATTACCTATACTAATTTTTATACATCACAAACTTATTGTTTTGGACGTCAAAATACTTAGTTCATGTATGTGATGAATGTGTGTATGCTTTCTTTTTTGTTTTCGAAAATTGATTGTTTACATTAATAACTGAGTTCCAGGTTTTTTACTTTTTTTCCAATTTACTTGTATTGTACAGTTAGCTACTTTCTGTTGTAAAACCTCATATTCTTTAATGAAACAGTTTGTTGGATTGAGTAAAATATAACTTCGCCTTGCTGTATCGGTGTTATTTTTCTAAATAAATATAGGTCCAGTAATCTCCATATAAAGACAATAGGTTGACCATTCCATTGCCAATTTCACAATATAATTAACTAACTGTTGCAACAAATCTTCATCAGTTTAGATAGCTGGGACATGTGTTACGTACATCCAACCACCGACCACCCCGACGAACGGTGATTTATGGTGTAGTAGTAGGTTGGAAGAAAGCTAGGGGCTGCCAGACCATAAAGTCACTAACTTCTAGTCTGAGCCATGTTGGTAGGTTGGGATCTGCGAGACAATAGCAACTGATAGTTAGAGACTCTGAATGACATGGCTCAAAATAGTTTGCAATGGCGCAAGTGCATCCACTCTATGTTCCCTTAAATTCTAATCTTCTGAATTCCTCATATTCCTTTCTTTTTTCTCTTGCCAATTTTATTTCACTGTATTATACTCCTTAAATAACATTTTCAAACCCTAATGTTTTCGATTACTGCTTATACTCTTACTACCTCTACCACTAAGGGATTTGAATGGATAATTGTATTTCTGTGCTAATGTGGTACAGCAACCTAAATTGGTGTACGTAGGTACGAAGTTCTACGTTGTTATTGACTGACTGAACCAAATTTCACTTTAGAAAATATTACTTTTATTATCTACTTTGAAATAGGACTAGTTTGAGTTTATAAAATATGTTGGGTTGTTTATTCACAAACATTATTTGTATTACTAGTGGATTATCGAATGTTATGTTATTCATATTTATTTATTTGAACACAACTATTGGTACAAAAGGGCACTGAATACATATGCGCCATAAGTCACCTGATTTGCGTGTGGGCTGGGATGCCGTTTAGGTGCCCGAACCGAAGCGGGTGGTTTTTTTTAGGGGGCCACACCCAGAGTCTTCGACCTAAAGGTCTAACCCACAAGGCAATGGTGCAGACCCACGGTAGCCGGTGACCAACAATTGGTTCATACGCCATTTGTCCCCTCAGGATCCTGGAGCCCATGTGCACCATTGGTTTGGAATCAAGGTTTCCCAACCCACCTAGGCGGATTCTCTATGTTCACCAACCCGGTTACAGCACCGGACATTCGCTTTTCGTCCTCTCAATTTTGTAAGCAACACTCCTGCTGTGAGAAGGCATTGAGTAGGACTTCTGTGACCGTGGTTGTATGCACGTGGCCATATGAGAGCATTTGGAGAGGGAGAGTGAACCCTCCCCATCCTCGGCCGTACCACGGCATTTGGGGGTATGATATTCAGAGATCTGAAGGCAATCAATAGTTGCTGCAATATTTATGAGTGAAAGAAGTTGTACCTCCATATGTCCACATGGCTTTGTCTTATTGACGAAGACTGAATTAAGCGTTCATGTGAACCCAAACGAGTGCTTGTGGAGGCTTCTACTATTTCGTTTAGTTACATCGATTTATGGAAATGAGTTTTTACTTGTTATAAAGTTAGTCTTCTACTAAAATATGCGGCAAATGTACTGCAACATACAGACGTGATCCTTTCAGGCGGAAATTATGAAGGAAGTCAGCTTCGGAACCCACAAGTAAACGGAGAATGATCGACATGTCTTTAAAACATGCAAAGAGTGGGATTATACTTTAGGATGGATTTTCACTCTCAAGCGTAGTACCATAGTAAACTGTGAACTTTATTTACGTCAGCAGATTCACCATTATCAGTGTAGGCAGCGACAATTATGATCCATGTGTATAGTCAAGAATACTACAATATACACAAACTTTCAAAGAACATATATACAAAGAAACATCATTGATTAATATGCTAAGCTCATTACACCTGGTAAATAAATTCTTCAGCTGCACTTTACGAATCTTTATGGAACCTTTCAATTCAGTTCAATCATACAAGTTAGATAAGTTGAAAAGTTGATGCTATGAAATTCTTTAAGGAAGAAATGTGTTCTGGTAACGAAGTCTAATAAGCAACAGTCAAAGAATGGCAATTAAACTATACAACAATAACAAAATACCATACTATATTTCGTTAAAGCACAAAGTTCACACAGTGAAAGAATATTCCAATATTTCTTTAGATATAAAGTTATCCAGGAAATCAAACCGATTATATTTCATATAACAGTTTGCATGATAATTCAAACATTAACATATCTTATTTCGTTTTACTAAATAAGTAATCTTAAAATCAAATTAAATAACTTGTAAGATTGGAGGGTGCATGAGATTATATTCTATTCAAGTTGAACCGTGAATTAATCCACAGTTCTTCTTTTAAGAAATTTAAAGCAATTAGTCCCTTTGATAAATTTCAATAATGCAATAAGAAGACGAAGATTATCAGAATTATGTGATATATTAGAGCAATATATTTTGAACATTCGGATCACACATATACTTGTTAAGAGCATTTATATATAAAAATAAAAGGTCAACTAGACTGGAAACGGTGTAAGAGGAGATAAGGATAATAATAAGAGTAATAATAATAATAATGTGAACATAATTTGAAACCTAATCATTCTGGATAATAAGTCAGTTGACCTTTTATTTTTATATATAAATGTTCTTAAAAAGTACATTATGTGTGATCAGATTGTTCGAAATGTATTGCACTAATATGTCACATAGTTCTGATAATCTTCGTCTTCTTATTACATTATCGAAATCCACAGTTCATTACAAATTAGGCATTTATGATTTCGTCTCTAGTGAGAATATAGTTATACCATCCAGTTCAGAGAAAACAATAAAGACAATAACATATTTTAAGAGAAATTCACTTGGTATTGTTTTGCTTGTATCTTCTCATTGATGTTTAAGACTACAATTGGTCAGTCTGTTATTGGCTCGTCACTATCCATCCACTATCCATCTTTGCATATAAAAGCACATATGCCAATAACAGACTGGTCAATTGCAATCTTAAACCTCAATGGGAAGATACAAGCCAAACAATACCAAGTGAATTTAAATTTACCCCATTGCACAAGCAAGTGGCTATCAGGACTCAGTAGCTGAGTGGATATCGCGATGGCGTTAGAAGCGAATGATACTGAGTTCGAGTCCTAGATTGGGCATCAAATGTGAGATGCAGGTACATCCAGCTAACGAGTCTCAAATAAGACGAAACGCGCATTCTGGATTCCACTGTTAGCCACTATCCATCTTTGGTTATACTTTGAGAGAGTTAGTAGTATTTAAATTACTATACTGTCTTCAACCCTTGAAATAAGACTATTATCATAAATGTATTAAATAAATTTAACTTATTAGACAATTTAAGTTTTATTGTGAATATCTAAATTTAGTAAAATAACATTTGTTTTGTTTATACGTCAGATTTCATTGATTTATTTTGATAGTAAAAGACATATTATATCCATTCATTGGATTAAAAATAACTTTAGGGCAAAAAATCATAATATCCTTTCAATATTAACATTATTCTTTCAATCTAAATTATTTCTTTAATAATAACATTTGTTCTGAATTACTTAATCTATAGTCCATTGAACTTTATCAATAGAACGTGTTATAAATCATGATTTGTATTTGTGATTATTGCTTTCTTTATTATACATTAGATAGGTTATTATTATTATTTTTTGGAATTCGACACTTGATAACTAAGCCACATTTAGAATGATATTTAGCCCTTCTGATATTGAATTAACAGATGAGCACTAGTAACTGGCTTCAAGAGGTATATCCTGGAGTTCTAGTGAGAAACAATGACCAGTGAAGTTCAATAGGGTCTGTTGTGAAATAGTAACACATTGATGACAATGGTGGATGTGGAGATTAATTTCGTAGATTAGTTGAATTTATACATTAACACTGTTGGATGCTGGCCGGATCAGTCGTCTAATGGTAAAGTGCTCGCGAGCGAGATTGATAGGTCCTGGTTTGGAATCTTGAGAGGCGAGATCGTGGATGTGCACTGCTAAGGAGTCCCGAAATAAGACGAAACGGTCATCCAGTGCTTCGAGATTTTCCATGGTGGTCTAGCTTCAAGTGACTCATAATCTCAACCGTTGAAATTAATATTTAACTGTTTAGTAATTTATGTTCACTTTAAATATTTATCCTTAGGTATATAGTTGTAATTCTTAACCTTAAAACTGTGTCTAACTGCGTTGAATAACAGGTTTGTTTGGTAAAATGAACTGATGGATATTTGAGTTAAATCTAATATTGATCATGACTAATTGAACGGATAAAAATATTTGTTACTTGCTGAAAAATTTGTAACTTTTCTACATATCAGAAGGGTTTTTGTGGATATTATAGTAATTTCAATGGTTGAGATTATCTACATATCTTAATATTTTAATTAAAAGAAAGAAATGACTTAAAGAATATTACATGGGGTTAGAGTGTTCAATTTCCTATTATGAAACATTTCAATGTTAATCAGATAGAAAGGAATATTTTCCATAAGCAAACATTGCCGACTCTGGGACTGGTTGGAAAAAGCGGAGAGGTGGTCAGTATATGAGATGGTGTCGTGGTATGAAAGAAAGCTGCAAAGGGCTAGCTTCTGTTGGTCCTTCACGACTCCCTGGTTGGGGTCCGAGAGACGGTGTAACGCAGTGGCTAGAGACGTTATCAGATATGGCTAAGAATAGAAGCCAGTGGCGATCGTGTTGTAACCTCTTACTTTCTTCATAAAAACTGTTTATATCTTCCTTAACTGAAAGATCTCTTCTGATTGTACCTTTCCGTTTCCCCCACCATTGTTCTCTCTCTCTCCCTTTTTTTTTATAATTCCCCACGTTCATTACTTTTTTTTTTCTCTTTCCTCCTTCTCTTCAAATTATCATTGTTTTGTGTGGCGCATATATATTTGGTGCCCCTCTGTACCAATATTTATGTGTTCAAATAAATAAATAATAAATAATAAATTATGAAACATTGTCTATTTTGTGAAAATATATTATTATTCTGGTGATGGTCATTTAGGTGTAATTAATTCAAATGGTAGCTGTGTCCTATTTGAAGAAATAACC